CGCGACCCCCCTCCCGACCCCCCCACCCCAACATCATCATCATCGTCTATCATCATCATCGTCTATCATCATCATCATCATCATCATCATCAATCACTGTCATCATCTACCATCACCATCATCATCATCACCATTATCACCATCATCGGGCAACCGCCCCACACACCGCCCCCCCTGATTCCAATTACTTGTTTATTTCTTCCGGAAAAAAAAAAAAATCAAAATTTTATAATTCGCAAATACTTTAGAATTAATTAACTCTTTCTGCAATAACCCATGCCATATGTCTCGTAGAAATCTGAGGGCCGACCTGGCCGCCCTCAGCCAGGCCAAAAACGAGGTAAGGGACCCCCACACAGGGATTCAGGGCCTGGGCGTGCCACAGTTGACTTTTGTCAACTGTCGCGACCCCAACAGTCAACGTCCAAAGGTATCCAGTCCAGGCCACCGGTCAAGCACACACACGTGTTTGTATGCAGGTACCCAGACAACATAAGGTCCAAGGGGAAAATCTGCAACTGTACGATCCAGACCTTCGGCTGTGACTCAATCTGGACGACTGAGGGAAGGAGACCCGAGGCCAGAGAGCCTCGACAAATGCTACTTAAACACTGGCCTCGAGGTGGTCAGCATTCAGTCATGCTATGCTGGTTCAACGCTGGCTTGACTTTGACTCAACGCTGGCATTATGCTAGTGTGACGCTGGCTAGACGTTGGCTGTGCATCAGAGCTGCGGATGACACGAGGGAGAGGCGACACTGGCAATGTACGTCAGGCATGCTGACGTGGCGCTGCCTCTGGTATATGTGGCATTGCCTATGGTCTACGTGGCATGCTGACGTGGTGCTGCCTCTGGTTTATGTGGCGCTGCCTATGGTCTACGTGGCATGCTGACGTTGCGCTGCCTCTGGTATATGTGGCGCTGCCCCTGGTATATGTGGCGCCGTTTCTGGTCTACGTGGCGCTGTTATTGGTCTTCATTGATGATGTGGCATATGTCACCTGTCTTGGTTGCTGACGTGGCATTGTCCACGCTGTCTACATGAGGTGACTGGTTGCGAAGAAGAGGAAGATCAGGACCGCGGAGGGATCCTGACTACGTACCTGATTGTCTTCATGTCGACATTGCTCCAGAGCTGATGAGGAACTAGTTAGATGTGCCCTGTGGCACTTTGGGGTTACTTCAGATACTCGTTCAGACTGTTGATTATTGAAGTGGTGTTGGAGGAGGGAGCCCGAAGCAGGAGTGGGCATTGCATTTTTCCTCTCCTTTGTCTAATCTCCCTCCTCTCTTCTTCGTCTGTGTATATGATTATCTCGTCTCATTCTGTCTGGACACGATCTTGATTATTGGTACTCATCAGCTGTTGACATTTATCTGGACTTGCATTGTTGATAATTGTCTCACGATCTGGGTTCATTGCACTTTCTACTTTTAATTATTATTATTTATTTATTTTTTCCCCCCAATTTCTATTCTTGTCATTCGGAAAGCCGTTAGAATTAATTAATTCTTTTTCGACACTTCTTTTTCGCTCGTATATATATCGTCAAATAGAACTGCCCGGTAAACCGTAGGCAGAGAGGGAGAAGAGGACAACAAACGAGGGGCTGTGACAAACTGTTTCGTCGGAGTTTCACCGACTATATATATCGTCACAAACAGAACTGCCCAGTAAACCGTAGGCAGAGAGAGAGAAGAGGACAACAAACGAGGGGCTGTGACAACCTGTTTCGTCGGAGTTTAATATATATGTATATTTTTTTGTTTATTTTTTTTTCGCTCGTATATTTTAGAATCCAAAAAAAAAAAAAAAAATCATTTCCGATTTTTTTCTCTTGAAATTCAAAAACGCCTTATGATCAAATTCTTTTTCGAAATTCTTTCTTGAAATTCGGGAATATTTCAGAATTACTTAATTCCTTTTTCGAATTTTTCCACGTTTTCTTGTAAATTCATACCCCAAAATTAATTTCGAATGAATTTAAACCCAAATCGGAATTTATTTTTCTTCAAAATTAATTATTTCTTTTTTTTCCTTTTTCGATATTTTCAGCTGCAATGAACCTCCCAGTTCAACACCAATGAGTGCACATATTCACACCACAAGCATGTGTGAGTACACATGAAATTCACACTGGAGACCAGAGAGATGAAGACCAGGTAGCGCAGCTTAAAAATTCCAACGAGTTTCATAAGAGAAATAAGAGTTCCAAGTCATCAGCGCTCATCAGCACTTGTCAAAGGTAACAAATATCCAGCACAAACTCTCAGGTACGATTCTCTTCTCCCACTGCTCTTCGCTCTCTTGTGTCTTTCCTCCTCATTGGTCTTCTTTCTAGCTATGTCCTCGCTGAGTCCTCTCTTACCACATCAATGCACACACGCTTACAACTACTCAAGAATCTACTATAAATACACCCAGTGTCTACCCTACTAACTCTCTGAAGACAACTACTAGATACTAACACTTACACCCTGCACTGGCGCAGCTATGGCTGCCTTCCCTCTGCCAGCGATATCTTCCTCTCACTCTCTCCATCTTTGCGCAGCACTCTGGCTTCAGCGCTCTGCCCCTCACATTAGCGCACAAGTGCACCAGCACTTCCACACTCTTTGCGAAGAGCAATCTGCCCGAATGTGAGGCTGGCCAGTCCTTTTATAATCTTGGTTTGCACTCCAACTCGTGCCAGCCTCTGTTTCTTTGGGTCCTGACTGGTTCCGGTACCACATCCCCTCGGCCTGTCTGCTTCTGAATGTCAAGGCCTGGAACCTTCCCGAATTTCCATTGGACTGTTGCTGCTTGGGCGTTTGAGTCATGACTTTTCACTTGTGAACATGACTTTTGACGGTGGATAGTGACTCCTGCCTGTGGGTCACGATTTTTGCCTGTGATACTGCCTTTACTAGAAGGATGTGACTCTTCAATGTGACTTTTCATTAGGACACGTGACTCCTGCCCTTGAGACATGACTCCCTGTGAATCTGCCTTTTCACTCATGGGGTGTGACTCTTTTGAAATGGCTTTTATTATGAGACGTGACTCTTGTGCCTGAGATGTGACTGTTTGTTGGGTGCCTGTTGGACCAAACTTCTGAGGTACCCGATTGTGACTTTTCTGAGTTTGAGGAACTCGGCCTTTTCTTGGCCTGGGCATCTGACCCTGAGATCCGAATTTGGGGTCTGAATCGTGGAAGGCCTGTCACTCTCGCTGGCCTAAATTCGAGGTCCTCCGAGAAAATTAGCAATTTTTATTTATCCACTATGTTAATTCCTTTATTAGCTCTTTCATAATATGACACAATATGCGGTGTTGTTTCTATTAGTTCATCTCTCGTGTACTAGAGATCTTCTGTAGGTTCCTGATAGGCAAATCTGACCTTATATTGTCGCTGTGGTCTACCCCTGCGTCCAGACCTGTAAACATCTTCCCCAACAATTCTATCCACATCATACTTACCATCCATATTAGGGGGAATCATAGATCTGCGTGATGGAAACATGTCTTTTTTTTTTTTTTTTTTTTTTTTTTTTTTTTTTTTT